CCGTGAGGGAGCGCCGTGAGGGAGCGCTGCCCGCCGCCGCCGAGCCGCGGCATTTACGGGCGTTTCCCACAGGAGCGCAGCTCCCGGCGATGGCGGCTGGGGAAGCGGCAGAGCGTGGAGGCAGCGCTGCGGCAGGAACCCGGCGCGGCTCCTCTGCCCGGGCAGCCGCTGCAGGTGCCTCAGCGCCAGGTGCCTGCCACGGCCCACCTTCACGGGGAAGGAAGCAGCCGAGGTTCGGCAGTGCTCGCCGTGGAAAACAACGACGAAAGTCTGAGGGCCCGCAAGCGATCAGAAAGTTTTACTAGTAAATTACACACTTGACATGGAAATCGGTATGTTAGTCCCTGGATTACTCTATAAGCACACGGCATTTGGTTTCGGAAAAAGGGGTAAGATGAGAAGGAAGAGAGATGTATTAAAGGGAGTGGGATGATGAGGGACAGGGAGAACAGAAAAAGAAAAAAAAAATAATTCACCAGTCCTGGTTCCAGTATCAATCCAGCTGCTGGGATGTCAGTCCTGGTTTTGATGTTGATCCAGCTGCATCCATCTGGAGGATGAGATGTCCAGGGTCCTGGGAGTGCCTCTGTGCCTCTACCAGCACAAAGGGGCTCTGTGGACATAGCACACATATAGCTATCAGTCATCGTGGAACAAGCAGGACCTCAGGCCACCTCTTCAAGGCAACTAAAGCTTTTTTGGGTGAAGCATGAGAAAACAGGGACATCATGAGCAGGCATTCAGGTATTCAGGCTCCCTTCCACACCAATCTGCAGAAACGTGCTTTTGCTTCCCAGCGACTGCTTCAAACAACAGAGTGAGGGTTTTTCCTTTGAAGTCTCCTAGGAAACTTTTTACATCAGAGCAGGGGCTTATTTCTACATATACAACTACCTACTCTCCCACAAGTGTGCTCGGTCGCTCCTCTGCTGTGACTGAATGGTATCAGGTGCTGTTTGCACACGAAGTCTGAGACAGGCCAAACATTACTGTAGAAATGGCAAATATACAAGGAGAATGTGTTAATCTCGGTCATTTAGTCTGCAAGTGTTTATTTGCACACAACATAACGTGTCCACAGGTATGGATTGGGTAACTGGCAGGGCGTTTACCCTTGCTGAAGTCATCTAAGAAATCAAAGTTCACTGTCAGGGAATGGTGACCCTTTGGATAATCATTAGTCAGAACTAGTAGTTTATAGCAGGGTTTAGTATTTTAATAGCATAGCTGTTGCATATTCAAGACGTCTATACTACATTACAAAATTATTGATGATGATGATGATAATAATAGCTTTGATCTTTTTAATTCTTCCTTTCTCACATTCTGTGTCTGTGTTTTAGAGGGAATAGGAAAAATATTTAAGGTAATATTTTCTTTGTTTCTCAAAATTAAGACCTTCAGAAAAAGATGAAAAGAAGAACAGAAAAATTGTCTGAATTGCAAGGATCTGCTTGTATTCCTTTTCCTCACAATGAAATTCACTTGCTGAGGTGTCAGACTGGAAAAAGGAAGAAACCGTGCTCCAATGACCACATTAGGATAAAATAAAAGAAAGAATGAAACCCCCTAGTCACCACAAACTTTCAGTTATTATTATTTCAATTACTGATAAACTTTTGTACTTGTTGGTCCAGAATGTTTACAACTCGTTATTTAATATATTAAATAATATTCTTAAGGTCAAGAATACATATAGATATATATATATATATATTAACTTTATTAATGGATACCAAAGGAGCTCTGAAAACCAAATTGACCTGCATTTTGATCACAAGCTCTAATACTCTTCTTATAAGCAGAGATATATAGTAAGAACCCACACACTTGGTATTATCAATGTAATTTCCACATGATTACTCCCTTCTTTCTTTCTGCTTTTCCCACACCAGCAACTGACCTAAGTGAAGTTTAAGCAACATTTGCACCAGTTATATCACAGCTTTCTGAAAAGTACTCCTTTACCTGACGGTAGTTGTCACAAAATGCTAGAGTGCGTCACTGCAGTCTGCTCAGGGTTTCGCGTTTGCTTCGGGTTTACTTTGCAACATTTTGGTCAAAACGTTACTTTTAAGAGCTGTTCCACCACAGTTACTTTTCATTCTACTAATGGTTATAATGTAATTTCAGTAGGGTTTGTTAGGTTGTTTTTTTTCTCTTTCTCGTTGCCAACCAAAACCCGAGAGCAGAAGGCAAAGAGCAGGAGCATTTCCCATCCTCCCATCCCATCCAAGCCCTGAATTACCGTTAAGTGAATGTTGCTAAGCCATTCGTTGGGGTTAGAAATAATTAAGACAAACAATTTAATCAATCAAGGTTTTCAGATCTTACAGCCTGTTTTAGCAGTACTTTAAAAGCCATTCTGTGATAAAAGACCTCTTCTGAAGTATATCAAGAACTAGATTACAGAAATCTCTATTGGAGTTGTTCTTGTTACCACTAATTGTACAGTCGCACTCATATATAGCAGTGAACTCCATGTGCAGAAAACCAAAGCAAATATTGAACTTTCCTTAGTACAAATTCAGAGACCCAGATCCAGGAGGCTTTAATCAAAATTCCAATTAACTTCAAAGAGTTTTACTTGAGTAAAAATTGCAAGCAGAATCTAGTACAGAAAAAAATTACCATTTTAATTGCTGCTAGCCTGATTAAGCGATTCAGCTTCCAGTTGATACAAGCACTTACATTAACACTAAAAATTTATTAATGGTCATTTATATTCTACAAAGCCTAATCCTGCCTAAGATTTTTTTTTCCCCCCCCTCAGAAGACTGCAGCAAAGATTAGCATAGCTTCAAAACCACTCAGCACATCCCCGAAGAAACGCCGCTTGGTGAGGCTTCAAGAAACGACCTTGCAGCAGAAGCCTGCCCTGGCAGCCTCCGTAATGTCCCGGAGCCAGCAGCCCTGGGGAGCCGGACCGTCGATGCCTGGTGCAAGGTACCGCTGAGCCGGTGGGTGAACCGGCCTCTCCCACTGCGGCGCTGCGTGCCTAATTTTAGGCTCTAATTCTTTAGAATCTAATAGAATCCTTCTCTTTGTCATCTAAAGTAGATGTCTCTCATCCTGCTGCCCTGCAAGCACAGGTTCAGCTCATTTGCACATCGCGGTTTCGGCAGGCAGCCTCCGAACGCATCGCAGGAGTAAAGAGCAGCAAAAAGGTGCAGTCGGTGCTGCCCTGGCCCGGGCAGCAGCCCCGTCTGTCCCATGGAAGGCACAGGCAGAATGCACCACGTATCAGTGCAGTTAAGCCCAAGGGCACCAGGAAAACTATCCTGTCGGTATGCTCTCATCAATTAGTATTTTTAACGTTAGTTTCTTAAAACGCGTGGAAGGAATGCAGCTGCCCCCTGCTGCCAGTTGGCAGAGCCTCGTCTTACCCGGAGCTCTTGGCATCAGCAGCTCTCGAACAGTGTGTTTAAATCTGTGCCGCTGCGTGCTCCTCACCTGGCTCTGCTCCCCGCACAAGGATTTCCCCAGGCTGGACGGCCAGCGAGCCCCAGCCCAAAGCAGTGCTTTGCCTCCGGGTATTACACAGCAGACACAAGGAAAACAAACGCGGAAGTCCTCTAGCCCTACCGAAGGAGATAGGGGGTAGAGGAAAGATCATCTGGCCCCAGCAGAGGACCCCTGAGAGCTCTGGTTGAGGTCAGGCATGAAGAGAAATACTTTCCGTGCCATTTTGCTTCGATCCGTAACCAATTTTTGCCCAGCAGGGGGTTCCCCCCCTGCCCTTACACAGCATACAGCACAGTTGTTAACTGCAGCCTTCCACGTCTTCAGATGTGAGCACCCAGCACTCCTCTTTAAATGTGGTCCCTAGAGGACCATTTTAGTGGGATGGTAAACCAGAATCCCAGACTGTTCCTCTCAATCCAACACACCTGGCACTTGTCCGTCAGTATAGGGTCAACCTGGTGGGGCAGATGTTTTCCTCTGCACCTCGTCTTACAGCCAGGTGCAGCTGGGAATCACCAGGTAGGTGCTTCTTCCCAGACTTCCTTGAAGAGCTCAGCTACTTCCCAGAACAGGATCAGTGCAAAAAATAGCAGCTACCACTTTGTGCAAATGCCACTGGAAGAGGGTTTGTTGTATATTTTAAATGATAGCTCAGTAATTATTGCACAAACCCAGTAGTGATGGTGATCAAGGTCCTGTCCCTTCTCTGTCTTCAGAGCCATAAAATCCCACCTTCTGGGAGACTGCCCCTGAACACCAGATTATTCTCTTTTTTAAGAGCAAGGGCATTACATATTCACACACTGAATCACTTGCTCAATTCAAGACTAATTCAGAGCTCACTGGGCCATGGAGCAGCTATGGCATGGTGCTTTTCCTGGGCAAGATGAGATTTGTGTCCCAACCACAACTCCTGGCTGTATGTACATGTCAGTCAGTGCTGACTCACGCAAAATTCTTAAACATGTCCTAGTGAAGGTGCTGAAGCACTGATTTCTGCTTTCCAAGATAAACACTTAGCTAGAGATCAGTCTTCTTCTCTCTGGGCCGCTTTGACTGTCACAGCAAGAGTGAACCTTGCTGGTTTGGTACACAAAACACACACTTCAGATAAATTCCTCTATAGGAAGCTGTAGTAGGATTTTCATTGCTCTGGAGCCTAGACTTAAGTGTGGGTGGGCAAGAGAAAATAAGTGCTTTTGTGGTTTGTTTTCTTTAAAAATATTTTTGCGGTTTCAATGAAATTGAGTTTTGTTGTTTCAATTAATTTGAGTTTTGTTGTTTTAGTGAAAGCCTACCCATCTGTGGACATATGATATGCCTTTGAAATGCCTTGGCTCCCACATGCTCTATGGAAACTTCTTCAGCTGTTCATTGCTTAAAACTTCCAAAGACTCCCACTCTCATGTGTGATCTTCTCCTGGCACCGCCTGTTTGTAGGGCATCCAGCCCTAAAAATGTTTCTTTTCACGGAGGACTATTTGCATGTGAGACAGTGTACGTCCCCTGTTCTTTCCTTTATGAAGGGCTAGAGTGGCAGTGCTCACTTCCTTCCCCTTAAAACACTCCAAAGAATTTGAAAGATTTTGAAATGGGTTATGAATGCTATGGGTTTAGAACTGCTTCACACTTAGCTGAGGGTTCAACATCAGTGCAGTCATGACATGATTGGTGTTTGTGGTCAGCTCTGCTGCTTTGGTGCCAGAAGCAAGCTCCCAGCCTTCATGCCAGGACATGTCTGGGTTATACCCTTGGGATGCTGAACCTGGGAGGTGCTCTCCACACATTAGAGACCTACCATATTAAACCTGCCATATGCCCTGCTATGCCATGCCGTGTGAGGTAGATTGGGCTGCTGGGAAGAGTGTGTTACAGTCCCTCCTGGCTGAGGAGAATGCTTAGCTCAGACCCTCCATTTCTGGGGAAGGGCTCTGAGCACCCTGCTGCCATCTGAGCACCTGGCTGCACTCTGTGACAGCACCTTTAAAGAGGCCTCTGATCTGGTGGGTGCCTAACCTGAGATCACAAAAGAAAAGGTAAAGGGAGAAGGAAGAATGCAGTGCCCTAACTCCTAAGCTCCAGGGAGAGACTGAACTTCCCACACTGTCTGCCTGCTGCCTCAAGGCAGCTCCCTGCCCTGGGTGATGGCTTGTCCCTTGGGATGCCTCCTTATATCAGCAGAAGCCAGAAATCAGTGCAGTCCTGGGTGGCACCTCAGTGTCTTGCTCTCTGGATATGAGAAGGCAGTTGCTGTGACCAACATGAAGCTTACACTTTGTGTGGAATATTTGTTCTTGACAGTATTTGTCCTTGACAATGTCCTATGTAAAAACCAACCACCAGCTTGTTTCTTCCTGAGGGAATGGCCTTTAGTACCTTGAGAGCCATTCCTGATCCTCATGCTTGACCACTGTCCTCACAAACCAAACAGAACCAAGCTCCTGCCTCCTGAAAGATGGGAGTTCATGGCTTGTCATCCAGGTGGGTCCTGCTGATGCATGACAAACAAGAGAGTGAGTCCCAGGAGAAGGGTGCAAATTACAACAATACATGGTGTCATTGCTTTGCCTTGTCCCCTGGAAGCTCTATTTCCAAAAGCGATGTGGAAAAAGGAGTTAACTCTTACTTGTTACTCAGCTACTCTTGACTCGTTCTGTGTATGTGGGTTTGTGTATTTGGGCTCAGCAAAAAGCTGCTCCTCAACTTATTCACAGAACAGGGTTATTATTATCTGCTGCCTAACAGCAGGGTTGCAAGGATCAAATAAGTAGTTTTTGAAACACTGTGAGAGGGATGAAAGGCATTAGAGAGTAATTAAGTGCCCTACTAAGTGCCTTTGCCTGATTTCCCTTCACACAGCAGCATCCATGTGGGCTCTGAGCTGCGCCTGTTCATTAGGTGGCACTACAGGCCCAAGATTCCAAGTGTGAGAGCGGTCTCCAGAGGGCTCCGCTGGGTCTGGACAGCAGTTTGTAGGTTCGGACACTTCACTGCCCTATTGGCATACATTTTTTCCTGGGGAAACATGCTGTCCTGAAAAATAGTGGAAGAACACAGGCTTGGTATTGCAAGTGCAAAGCAGCAGCAACTGAGACTTCTGATACAGCTGTCTGGGATTGAGGTCTCCAACAACTGCAGGGGGAGCCTGTAACTGCTTGGGGTAAATCCCATACCTGGGACCTGCAGCCCATCCTGCTCACCCTGGCTGCAGCAAGACAGTGCGAAGGGGCTGCTGCTTTCCTCTGAACTGGGAGACAGCACAGTCAATCCTCTCAAAGACCTCATCCATTCTCCACTGGCCTGTGGAGAGGCCTCAAAGATGTTCCAGAGACACATGATCTTCAAGGAGAGGGCACCATGCTATTGTACCTGCTCCTTTTGCCTCTGCTGCAGAGCTGGCAGTGGTGTCCAGCACCTGCCCCAGGGCCTGGAGCCGCCTGTGCTTTTGAGTAAAAGATCCACAACACATCTCAGGTTGTGGCTTTTCCATTGACACATCCTGAGCTGAACTCAGGTCGGGAAAGTGCCTATGTTCTCTTACAGCCCTTCCAGCCACCTTCTTCCTCACCTTGGTTTCCTTGGCATTTCCCTGGTTAAATGTTTACACAAGTTTTGAAAGCCAGGGAGTGTGTGGGAAAGATCTGGGAGTGCTTCCCTTGAACAGTTTGGGTTTAGGTGTTTTAACTCCCTCCTCCCATGCTGCCAGTTTTTCCTGGCCTGGCACAGTCCTGGCTCTGTTAAGGCACACCTGACTTGGCTGACAACTGACACAGCTGCTCCCATCCCAGTGCTCCACTAGAGCTGAGCCTGGGCTCCTCCATTCCAGCTAGCAGCTTAGTCATTCTCTAGCCCTGGGTCAGTAACCTGCAGTCTACTCAGTGCCCCTCTGTCTGAAGCTGAAAGATAAATGCCCTTGAAATCTGAAGTAACCACGATAATTTTATTTTGAACAGGAAAATGGACTGTTTTTTCCCCTTATCTAATTGATTAGGAATGTCAAATATTCTTTTCTGTACGCAGTGCATGCCTCTTACTTATGTAGGAAGCAGCTGGTCTAGGGAATGAGCCAAACACTTTTTTTAACTAGAAAAAATTGAGCTTTCTTTTGGGACTTGGGGAGCTGTCACTGTATTTCATCATGAGCTGACAGATAGAATCCATCTCTCTGCTTTTCCTTCTGCGTCCTGACATGTCTCTGGGAAATGCCTGCCATGTCCCTGCTTCAAAGAAAACTGCAGGTGTCTGGGAGAATGGGGGCGAGGAGGGGTCACTGGGGCAGTCAAGCCAATGGGATGTTCACAGCTCAGGAGCCACATCTGGGCACCTGATTAACATCAGGAAAAAATCTTGGCTTTTGTCTGTGTGGACTTCTGTCTACTTCTATTTTTGCACATTGCTGAGCAGTACTAGATGCAGCAGTTACTATCTAGAGGATGACATTAGCTTTGCATCCGCGTGACTTTCTAATTCTTTCTGTAATGGGCTTAAAATGGAGCGTACGTTCCCGTTTTTCTCAGTAGACAGTTACGCTTCCCATCTGAAATTATTCAGCCTTACACTGCACTTCAGAAAAAACTTTCTTAGGAAGAGCCAGGAACTGCAGCATAGGTAGATTTGTTTCTGAGGAAAACTGTTTCTTCAGCAAGATTGATGGGTACCAGCACCATCTACTTGCAAAACCCAATAGAAAGTTGGCTCTCGGTACAGTTTGGCCAAATGGGTGATTGAACCCCCTTAAAAGATGTAGGATTCTGTTGGATCACTAGTCATTGGAAGTTCATGTCAAGAAAGTTGCCAATGAATATTTGAATGAAATTAATTTTGTGGGATAACTTTAAAAAATAAAGAAAAAATAGATAATCAGTGTTACAGATGTCACTGTAAAGCTGTCACTACATCTGTGCCTCGTCCCGAAGCAGACTGCTGCAACTCCTCATGACCATGGCCAGCAGTTTTCATGGAATCCTAGAATGGTTTGGGTTAGAAGGGAACTTTAAAGATCATCCAGTCCAACCCCCCCTTGCAATGAGCAAGGACATCTTCAACTAAATTAACCTGCTCAGAGACCTGTCCAAGCTAACTGTGAATGTTTCCAGGGAAATGTCATCCACCACCTCATTAGACAACTTTTGCCAGTGTTTCACCACCTCACAAAGCCTTCTATCTAACCTAAATTCAAATTTTAGTGTTGGGGGTTAGTAGTCTGTTGTGAGGGGCTGTACAAAATACATGGTAAGGAAAGCATTAAGAAGTAATTTTATCTCCAGTAATATCTCTGTTCACCAAAGGAGAGAGGAGAAATGGATCCTGGTGGATCATTGAACTACTGAGGCTGGCATCATCTGCAAGAGGTTTATACCTGAGTTAAGGGAGCAGGGAGGTACCAAACAGGTGGGCTAGTGTCCTACATCTCCTTTAGTGAATGTTTATGTGACTTCTCAGCACTCAGCCATGGCTGATATCACACCATTGCTTTCCTTCCCACTTTCTGTGATACAGATGAACTTGGCAGGTTTTCATCATGCATCCCAGATGTGTACCTGGTACAAGTGGGGGACAAGATAGAGCTAGGGATGGACTTTCACAGTCAAAATAGCACATATTCCATGTGGCAGGTTGCTGTGGGAAGTGATCATTCTGATAGTCACCTTGAAAATACCTCAGTTTGTTGAGTTGGTGTGGCACTGACACAGCCATGAACAGGCTCACATGTGAGGTGCCTGTGACCAGCAATGCCCACCACTTATCTACACAGGCCTCCAAGTCTGAGCCCTGAGGAACATTAAAAATGGTTTAAAGACCATATACGCAGCCTGACCTGAATATACTCCTTTTGTACTGTAGTTGTCTGGTGCTTCCAAGTGCCATTAGAAATGTGGATTCATGGTTGTTATCAGGGCTATGGTCAGAATGACACTCTTAAAGCTGAATATTCAGCAGTATCTGAGCTGCTGAATGCTGCTTGATGATCTTGTAAGGACAAGGGAGCTGAAAAAGCTTGATGTCACCTGGTCTGGCAGAAAACACTGCGATTTGTTTAATCAGCTAGCCAAACAACCTTCAGCATCTGCTCCCTTAACAAAAGAGGCCAAGCAACAACCATTTTCTGGATAAAAGTTTCTGCCAAGGTCTCACGGGCAGGAGGGAGATGAACCAACAGTGCTGCTCTTTGTCACAGACCTGGTGTCCAGGGGCTGCCCTGGACATAGGGGCGAATATGGACAACCTGGTTGTTCCTATCAGGCACCAGTACTCCTGTGTGTACACTGTAAGTGTTTGGATTTGTCTTTTCCAGGTTTTTACTTGTGTTATCAGGAGCTGGTGAATTGCCAAAGGTTTGGCAGCTGATAAAAACAAGTGCCATGCCAGATCCAGGGAAAACCCCACACTCAGATGCGAGTTGCTAGTCCCAGCAACTCTTTCCTATGTGTTTTGAGGTCCCTGAGGGACATATTCTTTGACAGCACTGTTGGAGGACAAGGCATATTCTGCATGTTGAGCAAGATGGATTTTGCTGAGACAGTGGTTCCCATGATCAAGTTTAAGCAATAACTGTAGCTGTTAAATAAATCAAGAGTGGAGCTGTGCTCCTGGACTTGCTGCTGCTTGTCATACACTGGTACATTGTTCTCCTGGGGTGGGATTCACTGTTCTTGGCATTTGCCAGCTAAAAATTAAGCACCTTCAATTGAGCTGAGTGAAAATGAAGCAGTCAAACACTAACAGCCCTTGTCTCCTTCCCTAGACAAAAGAGAGTGTTGAGCACTGCCACAGCATGATTCATCCCAAATTTAAAAAATTTAAGCCAGGGAATCAAGTTCTTTTTCTGGACATGCCCATCTCACTCTGTAGATTATTGAGGGACATGAGACAGCTGGCTGAGACTCCAGAGCCAGTGTTTAGACATCTGTTCTAAGACAAATCCCACTGATGTCCACCACACAGATTTGGGAATGCATGGAGGGCACAGCAAACACAGGGGTGGTACAAACATTCAGACTTCTGCAGAGCTGCATGCTATGTTCTAGCTCTCCACCAGTTTCCTTCCTAACTCCCACTAATCCATCTCCAGCACCTCTTTGACATGGTTGACTTTGTTCAGAAACCGTCTTTCACTGACCAAGAGGTTGGTCAGTGACATCATTTTGCTGATGAGACTGACACCCTTATAGCAGGGGACAGGCTCATCTTGTGATGGCAGAAGAACACACCAAAACAGTGCCAAGAAGATCTCACCTTCACAAAGCATTTATTTTTACCCAGAACACAAATCCTTACTCAGAGGCAGGAACTAACACTTGAGCCCAGGCAATGCAGGTAGGTGGGACCTCGGATCTGGCTTTTCTGAATTGCCTCAGGAATGTCAGCGCGCAAAGTCAATCCTTGAAACAAATGAGTTTGCTCAACTTCGGGTGTCAGTGGGCAAGTACACCAAATACCTACTAGACCTGCCACCTGCTGCTCCACTGCTGCATCTGTCCCTCTTGCCTTGTGCCAGGACAAGGCTGGCCAGCCAAACGAGCTGTTGACTGAGCATTGAGCCACTGGGTCCGTTTTGCCCAGCAGCCTGTGTTCTCATGTAAGAAAGCAGAAATCTGAGGAGATGCATATAGAGCTGAAGTGATGTCATTTTGTGCACAAAGGCCTCAGTTTGGTTTAAAGAAGGACAACTCCTTTCTCTCTTGCACCTGTTATTTAATCAGCAATCCCAACAATCCTCAGACAAAAGAGATATGCATCTGACCAGCCCCTTAGAGACTGTTGATTGACACTGCCAACAAGCAAGAGGCATGGTATCTCAGATGTTAAATTTTTCAGGAAAAAAGCTGGAATAAACAAAACTAGTTTTACTTGGATTCCTCCGCAACACAGACATTTGAATACAGTCAGTTGGGTGCCAGTGACACTCATTGGGAAGAGAAATCCCGAAGGAAAGAAAACTGACCGCAAGCCAAATGGGAACTGAAGAGTCAAGGTGCAAGTAAGAGGGGTTCCCCTCATCCCAGTCTGGAAGCCTGGCCAGAAATGTCATGAAGGCATTCATTCCCTGTGTAATGAATATTGCTCTCTTCTTCTGTTGTATTTAATCTGGCAATAAACCAGCATGTGTGATATGGCCGCTGTGATTAGTTGATATGGATGCCTTTGAAGCCTGAGTATGGTTACACGGCAGTGGTTTGGGATGGCTTCCTAGTTTACCTGGAGGAGATGTTATCCTGCAAAGCGGTGGGAGAGGTCAGGAGAAGTGCTCAAGGGTCTGCTGCTCCCCATGAGAAAGCTGAGGGGGAGGCAAGCAGCCCAATCACAGGGCCCCCACTCCTCTGCAGTGCTGGGAATGGGCAATCCATGGCAGTGGGGATGAGCAGCAGCCCTGAAGTGCCAATGCTCCCGGGAGCCATTTGCACTGACCGACCCCCACACAGCGGGGGAGAAAAACAAAAACCGGCCCAGAAGGGCCTTGTTGTGAGAAGGAAGTATTATTTAACGTGCATTGTGTTGGGAAAGGAAAACAAGGGTCCTGGCACTGGGCCAGGTCCATTGGCCTCTTTCTTTTTTTTTTTTTCTCTTTTCTATTCTTCTGGGCAATTGTTCTAGTGAGGGCAATTTTTTTTTTTTTAGTTGTTTTTTGCTTTGTTTTGTTTTCTTTGGTGTTTTTGGAGTTGACAATGCACGGGGTAATTTCTTGGTGCTTTTCCTGTGTTTTGGCACAGGGACTGCCCGAACGCTTGGCCGTCACTGGCACCAGCACCAGCACCCATGCATCCATGGCTTGCATCATCAGTTGAACAGGGGCTTCTCCACTGCCCCAGAGCTGGGGGGCAGAGGGGAAAGGCAGAAGTGTGGGCAGAGAGGTGAGTCAGTGTGGAAAGGCAGCACACATTTCTGCAGGGTGACTCACCAGCCCTTAGGAAGAAAAAAAATAATAAAAAAATATTCCAGCCAAATTCTTTCAGGGAGGTAAACAAGGTCACACAGCGCTGCGAGATCCTGTTTACCTGAGACAGGACGTCTTTGCAGAGCCTGTGCTGGAAGCAGGGACATGTTGACATGATTGAGGGTGGCCAAGGCAGGGAAATGGGGCTCTCAGCCTGATGACCCCAACTTCAGCACAGCAAGGAGGGGGTGACACCTTGCACTGAAGTGGATGCTCTGCTCTGTAGAGGCTCTCCCTGCCACCCTGTGGCTCTGCCAGGAGGGAGAGCAGGAGGAAAGGGACTACAGGGGGGTGATGGCAGGGCTGTGCTGGCACTCAATGCTCACCTCCAGCCCTTGCCATGCTAGTGGCCTTGGAAGATCTGACCCACTGCTGCCCACTTGCACCTATCCCATCATGAGCGAGTGCTTTCCCCACGGCCCCACAGGGAAGTCCTGGTGGCCACACAGTTAATTAGAGCCCATTCCAGACGCTGACTGAGTGTTTTTTCCTGATAACAAGACGTGTGTGAGTGTATGTCGCTCGTCGCTCGGGTGAATATCCTGTTCTTGCGACAGGCCAGGGAAGCGGGGGGCAGCCGGCTGGGGACAGACTGGACGGGACACAGGGCACTGTGCCGGGATTTCGCATTCCTGACATTCCTGTCTTGGCCTGCAACTGCAAAACAGCCCAGTGGGAAGAACAGGGCACCCACTGGATGAGAGAGCCCGACTCTCTTTCCCACTGGAGTGTGTGCATGGGGAGGACAGGTATATACAGGAGCAGAAGTTACCCTGGTGTGAACACTTGAATTCAGCTCACAATAAGCATGTTTCTGTTGCTCCTTCCTTTTCCACAATCTCCAACTCATCAGCCAGACTGCACCTCTCACTATAGCCAGACAAGTGAAGGATGCTTGGCATTTCCCCTAGTCCCAAGGGTAGTTGGGAACCATCATGGTGATGGAGGACACCATTCTCTTTCTCTCAGCATTGTTTCAGCACTTGGGGCTGCAGGAAACCCCCCCAGCCCTGCTTCATTCCCAAAGAAAGCACAGAGCCCAAGCGTGTCCCCTTATTGGCTACCTTGACCTGCTCCCAGCTCCTCCACCCTTGCAGAGCTGAGCCAGGATCAGCAATTCAGATATTTCTAGACCTTTTTTCTTTCTTTCTTGTTGTTTTTTTTTTTTTTCCCTTTTTTTTTCACTGACACACCAAACCAAACAGGGCCAATGCTGACCTTCGGCCAAAGCTATGTCATGATGGTTTTGTCCCGCAGTCTAATCACAATCCTCGGGTCTTGCACAACCAGGTACTTGGAAAAAAGAAAGAGTTCTTTCTTCCTTTAAAGCACACCCTGTTCCACCTACTCCGGCTTCCCACTTTCACCTTTCACAGCCTTCTGTGATTAGGTACCTTTCTCAATGAAACAGGCACATGTCATAGCTCCACTGACTACTGAAAAAGAAGGAGAAGGAGACTCCCCAGTTCCCATCACCAGCTGTACACACATGTTGTTGGAAGGGGAAGGGACCCCAGGGAGGACAAAGGACAGTGCCTTTGGTCACATGCAGAACACTGTTTTTGGGGAATTGAAAGCATGTAATGTCTGCAAGATTGCAAAAAAACACCCCAAGGATGCTTCTACATTTTAGGAAGTGGCTAGCACAGCCATTCTTAGGCCTGGACAGGCTTTTGGGAAGCTCTCGAGGGAGTCCTGGTGACAGACCTCCCTGCAGCCATTGGGAAGAAAACCTGCCGTGTGCAGTTTCCATACCCATGGCTGGGCATGCAGCAGGGGTCTCAGCCTCATCGCAGAGCCTGCTGCCTTTTCCCTGGCACTGGTGGGGTGAGGAGCTGGCAAGGTTTGGGGGTTGCTTGTTGCTTGGCTGGGGGGTGGACACCTGCCTCAAGAAGTGTGATTTTGGTAGGTCTATGTGTTTCTTTGCTGCATTGCTGGTGCGGGAATCTCTGCAATACCAGGTCAGGGTATCAGTGGGACTGCTGTCAGCAGCAGCTAAGATGCCTCTGCTCAGCAGGCAGGCAGGTCCTCTCTGTCTCAGGGCCTGCTTCTGTAAGCAAGAGCTGCTGTGCATCCATCCCAATTTCTTCCCAGCATGGAAGGCCTTTTTATCACTCCCTGGGAGGGGAATAAGCCATGCTGTGCTGGGTGAAGGACAAAGCAAAGGGGGCTTCTGCACTTTGAACTCAACCTCCAGTGCTGCACAGAGGCTCCTTCCAAAGCTGTTTTTTCTTAAATTCATTACATTCAGCTTCTTTGAAAAATGCCTTTCACACCTGCAGCTGAGGAGAGAGCCCTGTTATTGGAGAAAGGCAAGAAGATTTTGGACAACATATTGACAGGTGCCTTAAAAACACATTTGGGTCTGTAGGAGAAATTGTGTTGAGGTCTGACACTTGCTGGCAAAATCAGTCCCATCATGAGATTGCTTGGGAAGGGGTGTGCGTGTGTCCTGTACTGCCAAGAGAAAAGGTCCAAAGGAGCTTAACTAGAGGCACAAAAGCTCCAGTCACTCAAGGATTTCAGCCCAGCCCAGAGCTCCCAAGCAATCCAGCACCCTGGGAATGGGAAAACCCCAGCAGGGATTCGCTGGACTCGCAGGGGATTACAGTCTGAATGACTAAACCTGTTAGGTCACTCGAATGATCTGCTTCCTTTTATGGTCAAAATCAAGTGTCAGAAACATAGATTTCCTCTTTCCTTAGAACTGGGTTTTCTTGGTACCACAAATCAGAGGATGCAATGCTAAAATTAAGTGTCTGAAAGCACATGCATAGTGTTGCAATCTTGCTGCCTTGCCTACTGATCTGTGTAATGCATGAGTTGGGTAACAAACAATAGAGGTTGGAAATAGCCAGGACGGAGATTTCCTCTTTCAGTTGCAGAATTGTTTCCTTGACTGGTGCGTGCATAAACCAGGTGGCAAAATGCTTGCCCTGACCAAGTTTCCTGGCAAGCAGAAGGGGTCTTTGGGTGAGGGGTGGAAAGGAGTGAAGGAAAAGTTCCCAAAAAGCAAATCCTTCCTTTGGGCTTTACCTTCATCCTCCCACTCCTTTACAAGCTCACTGTGTCTCACAGTCTGTAACTGGTTCTGGCAGCTCCTCACAAACTTCTCAGGTCCTTTCCAAAGCCGCGGATGGGAACTCTCGGCATCCCATACCAGCGATGGAGAGCTGAGATGCAGAGCCCATATCCCAGGACCTCTGCTAACTGCCAAAACCTGGCACTGTGACCTCTCCCGTGCAGTAACACCCCAGGGAGCCAGCTCCTACCAGGACTGGGGAGCAGCAGACATTGTTGCTCTCACGCACTGCAGTGACCACCTCTCTTAGCCCACAGAAGTGACAGGTGGAACCTGCTCTGGCTGAGTGCTCGCACCCAGGTCTCACGAGGCCCTTGTTTCCCTCCACTTCAGTTCCATAAGGACCGGTCACATCTGAAGTTCAGGACCCACCTGCTTCACTCACAGCTCACACTTGTCACACTTTGGAAGGCCACAAGTGTTCCAAATGCCAGGAACACTGCCAGCAGCGATGACATCCTTCCCCATCTGCACCACAGCACAGACAACGCATCACAGTGGGCACAGCAGCACCATGCCAGCTCCCAATGTTTGCTGCCCGAGGGCCTCCATTCCCTGGATGGGTGTGCACATGCACCCAGATTCCTTGGAGGATTTTTTTAATCCAAGCTCATAAATATTCACGTTTTCCAGCTAGGGAAAGAATTCCCTGTTGCTGGCTGTCCTTCCTCAGGGATTACTGGTGTCTGGGACTAGGAAGTCTCCAAGCACCCAAAGCTTCTCCTACACCCTTACACCCAACCTTGGTCTTTCTCCAAAAAGAGAGACAGCTCCTTAACTCAAAGCACTCCAAACAGCTTTTTCTTGCTTGGAAAAAACCACACAGGATGAACTTGCCATGAAATATTTCACTTTCTAGGTTAGAGCAAGGAGGGAAGGGAACAGGGTTCAGTCCTGGGTTTAGGGGTTGCATCTGGCTTTTCATCTGTGTTCAAAGTGGGAAACTGGAGCAGATTTTGTGTCCCACATAGCAACAGCATCTGGCTGCTCCTTCCTGGCCATGAGCTTTGAATCATCTACAAGACCTGAGTAAATAAATAAGTACAACAATAGGTCACAGCATACCCGGTGGGACTGTCCATGGAAAAGGGAAAA